AGCTGCACGGATAGAATTGGGTAGAATCAGAAAAAAAAGATGCAATACCAAGAAAGGTTGAACTGAATGTTCATTGACTGATAATTCTAATTAACTGCACAAAAACATCCCCTGAAAACCCCCAGTGTGTAGAAAGGCTCCAATCTGTCGAGGCTCAATATTCTCCTGTTGGCGTGGTGTCGTTCTCGTCACTTGACCAAGGGGTTCAAAATGACGGGATCTTCTCATGTTGCTTTAGAGTGGGACGGGAAACAAAACTAAAAAATTTCATAAGAAAAGATCGTAGAAAGACTTCTAAAGATGTCTGATAAACAGCATATTAAATTCCTGAATAAAATATATATTTTAATCACTCCTCGATGACTTTCGCATGAAATTCGCTTTTAAAAAATATCTTTCACACACTAGCGTCATCTGAAAAGAGTAAATAATGAGGTGACAGATGGAGAGGCTTTTGTGTTGCGTGCCAAAGGCTAAATATTGATGGATTTTCGTATGGCTTCCTTTCCAATCAATTTTTTTGAGAAAAATTCGGAGGAAAATCATTGGATCCGAAATGGAGAGAACATGAAACGCATTTTGTTGTAAATAGTTGGTAAAGTAATGTCTTTTCCACATCCTTGAATAAATATCCCCTATACGCTTAAAAATTCAGTATATTTCCATCAAAATGTATTTTAAAAATGAAATTCAAATTGAATGAAATGGAACTTACTTTTTTTTTTAGAATTTTAGAGCGCTTAAGGCTGCCTTTGGCAAAAATACAAGACCCTGAACTAAACGCGGAACACATTTTCAGACAAAAAAAATGACTCAATTTTCATAAAAATTTATAACATTATAACTCATACATCTGTTAACAATATAGAGTTTCTAAAATTTCAAAATATTCCATGAATATTATTTTTTTTTCCTTTTAACACGTGAAAGGATAGCTCATTTAACATTATGGTATAGGAGAAAAAACGCGAAACACATTCTATGCCAGAAAAAAGGGCTTAATACGGTCCAAAACGTAAAGTATGATAACATATGCTGCTCAGAGTGAATTTTTCATTTCTTTTATATCTGAAATAAATTTAAAGTAAAAAAAAAAACTTTAAAAAACAAGCTTTTATTTAAATACTCTAAAAAGAATAAAATAAACTTTTGCTTTAAAACTTTTTTTGCTATCATCTTATAAAGTCGTTACACATTTTATGATATAAAAGCTTGTCGACAGATTCAAGTAATAGTATTTACTTAGTTTGAAAATTTAAAAATTAAAATTAATCAGATCAAGTCTTTAAATTTGCTTGTTTATCTACGCAGGTAAATCTCGCGACAAGCTTTTATATCATAACTTGTGTAGAGACTTTATAAGATGATAGCAAAAAAAAAAGTTTTAAAGGAAAAGTTCATTTTATTCTTTTTAGAGCATTTTTAAATAAAGGGTCGTTTTTTAAAAAGTTTTTTTTTTTTACTTTTAATTTATTTTTTACTTTCTAGTTATACCTGGACAGAGGTTCCTCAGTCTGTTAATCTCATTCAACGTATTATTGTTGCACGGTCGTTTGTCGGTTAATTTTGAACAGTCCAGCTATGGGGTACTCAACCTTTTTTTCACACCAGGCCACATATAATATATGATAAATATTTCACTCGGGCCGCAGCAAGAGGAAAAGAGGAATGGAGGGGGGTACACACTGTTATACCGAAAAAATATTGTATAAAGCAAAATTAATTAAAATATTAAAACTTTTTTTTTTGCTTTTATTATAATACAACATTAAAAACGAAAAATACATTTTTTTTCTTTAGATCCATAATTTTTTTCAATTTTTGTGCAGAATTTGGATAATACTATTTACAAACGAACAAATATTTTCATGCGATTATATTTAAAAATGAAGTTTTTAAATGTTTTATTAAAAATTTAAGTATTTTTTGTAAAATCGTAAAAAAAAATTAGTTATTTCATTTTTAAAATGACTGATTTTAAAAGAAAAAAGCCTGAACTTTCTTAGTGCAGAATATCGATTCAATAACAGGAAAAAAAGAAAAAATCAGACGGAACGATTTTGAAATCATTTTCATGAAAACGCATTGATTTTGACTCATTTTAGAAAAAATTGTAAAAAATAGAAAATATTAATTTTTTAAAAAAAAAATTATACCGCATCGTAGCAAAATAAATAATTTTCCGATTAGGTAATTATTTTTTGTCTCAGTTTGATAGAAAGAATAAGATGGTTTTTGCAAAAAAGGTCGAAAAATTGGAACTTCTTTAAGCTTAATCCCATAAGCTGCTCGGCAGAATAAAAAGCTTACAGGGGTAAAAGGTTTTCAATTAATATCTTTTTAACTAATTGTGATATCAGAAAATAAATCATCAAAGCAGGCATTGTCATCCAAACTAAATGTGTATACAAAATTTCAAATCAATTGATTGAAGACATCGGCTTCAAAACTGAGTTGCAAAATTTCACACGAAAAAATTACTTTAATTAATATCTACCCATTAAAATTCGAAGTTAAACAAATGTATGCGACTATACGGCTGGGTGTATCTTCTCACGAACCGCACGACGCTGAAACTCGCAGTAGATACCAAAGGATTGGGAATGATCCGAGGAATTAATTTTGACCATTTATATTCCGAAAGTGCAATTAGCTAAAAAGATATTAATTAAAAATCTTAAAACGCATAATATTTGCCATTTTTCCCTCCATGTGGTGAAGTTCCAAATTTCCGAACTTAATTTTTATCCCAGACGTTTTTGAAACACGATCTAATTTTTGTTCTTCTCAGACTAAGACAAAAAATAATTACAGAATCGGAAGGATCATTTACTTCGCCACGATACGGTATAGTTTACTTTGCAAAATAATGACATTTTCTAAAATCACTCAAAATCGTTACGTTTTTATGAAAATGATTTCTAAATCATTCCTATTGAATCTCCTTTCACGTTAATGAAATGATATTCTACACTAATAAAATTCATGCTTTTCACTTTTAGAACCAGTTATTTAAAAAATAAAATGTCAAAAACTTTTTTTTTGAATTCTCAAAATTTTACTTAATTACTCAATAATTTCTTTATTTACAAAAATAATATCATGAAACTTTTTTTCCGGGATTAGAACCATATTATCGGTAGTCTGTACAAAGATTGAAAAAATTGCTTAAAAATCACGGCTTAGAAAAATTTTGTTTTCCGTATTTCTCCCTTTTTGCGAGAAATATTTAAGCATTATGTGAAGATCCCCTTGGATCTCACTTTGAGAACGAGAATGATTTGGAGTCAGATAAGAGCCAGTAGCCATTTTTATAAATAACTTTCTTTATTTGGTTATCTTTCCCAAATAGAATCAAAGACTTTTAATAACAAATAATTTAAAATAGTAATATGAGGTTTAAAAGGGACTTTCCTTTAAATTAACTTAAATATTTAATGATCCAATTAATTAACAATTAGAATATCGATCACGCAGAGATTACCACGATAAGAGATCCCAAAATTATATTCAATAATGTTCCTATTGAACATTTAACTTTAATCTCGCTCCTAATATAAAGCTTTAATAAAGCTTTAAATATAAATCAATAATTACCACACTGGATTTCAACTCTTCCTGAGATTAATTTATCCAACTAGAAATCTTCAATAATAAATCTAACTTATCTAATCTGCATAACAAGGAATCCTGTCCTCTTTTTGGAGCTGATTGGAAATAGGTAGGGGAATTAAATTTCCCTAAAAAAGACATCTCAGAAGGTTAGTGAGAAAGTTCCGTATAGGTTTGTCACAATTATTTTTGTTACATTTTTTGTTAAGAAATTACCGTTGTTTGCAATCGATATATGAAATTTGAAGGAATTAACTTAAAAATGAAGCCCGAAAAAAATTTAAAATAAATAACGCAATGCGAAATTGAATATCTATTCCTTTTATTTCAACGGTCTTTTGTTTTTTTTTTTTCAGAAGATTTCGTTCATCAGTCGCTTAGATCGCTAGATTAGTAACTTTTTTTACCCGGGTTCAAAACAACACCATTGCTTAGTTTTTATTATTCTTTATAAAAAATACTCAAAATTTTTTCGTGCATTTAATAACTTCGCCAGAAGTTTTGTAATTGGAAAGATAATTTATTTCGTCCATATACAGTATTTTTTTTTTTTTTTACAAAAAAAAAAAAAAGAAGCTTTACACATTTTATGATTTTTCTAAAATGAATCAATATCGATGCGTTTATATAAAAATGATTTTTAAAAAAACTCTTACTTTGATATTTTACAGTTTTTGATTCAAAAAATAAAATGTCGAAAACTTATTTTGCGAATTTTTTTGTGCAATAATTTATTACTTTTGTGCCACTAGATAGCTGCACATGTCAAGCTGCTTAAGAATTATGAATGCTCACTTACTCAAGAGCTCTGATAGTGAGAGGAGAAGGGTAATTTCCATGGCAATATGTTATGCATTTAAAAATGTTCGTGCAGCGCCGGGGGGGGATAAACCTGTCTAACAAAGAAAAGAAGCGAAAAAATTTCGAAACAGGTAATTCCAAGTTATATTCTCAGTAAAAGCCCGAGCAACGCTAGGCTAAGTGGAGGAGGGGGAGAGGGTGAAAGTCATTTTGAAAAAAAAGTATTAGAAGTGCTGATTTTGTGAAGGAAAGGGAAAATTTACATAAAAGTAGAGAAAGCAAGTACAACGCCGGTCCATGCAGCTAGTCTTTTAATTAAATGCGATATCGGAGTGTAAATGATCAAAACATGCACTCCCATCCAAACTAAACGTGTATACATATTTTCCTCTCAAACGGTTGAAGATATCAGCTTCAAAATTGACTTGCAAGATTAAACCCGAATATTTTACATTGCAAGTTAAATAAAAGCTTGTGTGTAAGATATAACATACAATGTACGTAAACAAAGTAAAAGTATTGTAAAATATCTTGCGTTGTACTAATCAAACGAATTTCAATAATATTTTACCCCCAAAAATAATAATTGGAGGCGCGGGGTATGGATCCCCGTACCTCTCGCATGCTAAGCGATCGCTCTACCACCTGAGCTATGCTCCCGGTCGACATCTATGTTATTGTAAACATGCTCGCCTTAACACCTGAACAAAATCATTACAGTAACTAGGTCGATATCAGAATATGAATCGTCAACTCATGCGTTGCCATACAAACTAAACGTGTACACAAAATTTCAGCTCAATCGGTTGAAGACATCAGCTCTCTCTCTTCAAAATTGAGATGCAAGATTCCACCCGAACAAATTACTTTAATTAATATCTTTTAAACTAATTGCGATATCGGAATATAAATGTTCAAAACATGCATTGTCATCCAAACTAAACGTATAAACAAAATTTCAGCTCAATTGGTTGAAGACATCAGCTTCAAAATTGAGTTGCAAGATTCCTCCCGAACATTTTGCAATGCAAGTTAAATAAAAGCTTGTAAAATTGTACCTACTTCGGGTCCTATTCTTCAACATCCGGGTCCGAAAACAGCCTTAAAGTAATTGTACTTTTTCTAGACCTATCAACTTACACTTAATGCTATCTTTTTGTAAAACACCCAAATTTTCACATCGTTTTCTTTACAAATGAACAAATCAACAGTTATACAGATTGAATGGATGCATAAAAAGTTATTCTGTTTTCCTCTGATGATTACGGACAAAAATTAGAGTTATATTTTCGTTAGTAATTTTATTTTTTACGATAAGAAAACACGGTTGGGTTTGATGATGTTTGTTAGTTATTTCTTAAAATTTTTCTTATAATAAAAAACGAATACAAAACTTTTGCAGAATACTTGATTGAGGTATGAAGGATACAAATAATAATAAAAACCTCGAATTTCAATCTATCGACTTTTGTTCTTACAAAACAAACACAAAAGTAAGAAAAATCTACCAATAAATATTGTTACATCATTGATTGGGAATTCAAAGTAATGCAAACTAAATTTATGTCACTCAGAAAAGTTGAGGTCGCTTGTATCGTAGAAATGTATACAATTTTTTATAAGTGTCTATTCAGATGGTCATTCGCCTTTTATGGAAACGAATTTGTAATTTATTTTGTCCCTTGCATTTTGAGATAAAACTTTAACAACTTAAGAATAATTGTCTGCTATTGTTTTCTTTGGATTGGAATGTAAAAGAAAGCATTTAGTTTGAAAATAGCTCCTAAAATGGATGAAGGTACATAATTGCACTTTTTGAGGAGAAATATTCGTATCAACAGATTATAAAGTGGTGTAAAAATCTCGGTTATTGCATTGAAGAAAAATGTTATATATTAAATTTGAAAGGGAAAAACGCGTGCAGCTGAAAATATAACGGAAAACATGAACACAAAACCTCATCGGAAGACTGTGTTCGAACGAACAAGAAAGTAGTCCTAAAATAAAATCCGTGACTCAAACATTCCAAACCAGGAATTTCTCATTAAAATCATTCATTCAAATTTAAAGATGTTGAAACCTAAAAGAAAAAAAAGTTCAGCTTCTTTTGCCAAAACATATTGCTAAAAGAAAAACAAAGTGTAGAAAATTACATGAAAAACACCTAACAGCTGAAAAAATGAAATTTGCGGTAACACTTGATGAGGTATGGGTATATTTAAGTGACTGAAATAAAAGATGAATTTTCTACTGTTCAACTGACGGAAATGACAGTACGAAATGGCTTCGTCAGTGTACAGTCCCCAAAAGGATTCATGATAATTGCAGGATTTTGTTACAACGGCAAATTAAAAATCAGAAAAGTCTAAAGTAAAGTCAAAATTAGTTCAATCTACTATCCGTAAAATATTTTAGAACCAATATCTGATGAAAAAGTTCTAGTCTTATATGAATAGTATAGTGATAAAATTAACTTTCCTATAGACAAAACCTTTAATCACACGTCTAAATCAACTGCCACTTATTTAGCAAAGAAAAAAAATCAGAAGGGGATTGGATGAAATACCAGTAAATAGCTTCTCCAAAGAACTTTTGTGCTTTCGGTTTATTAAAACGAGCAAAATCCAAGAACACTGAAAAACAGTTGGAGTAAAATTGGCATGAACTAAGAAAAATACACCTTCACGGAAAATTCGAGCAAGAACCATGTGGCTATCAGATAGAATCAAAAATACTGCATTCCTAGATAACAATTAACTATCCAAATCGTTTCCATAGAGACTTTCTATATTTCTGTTAAATGAGCCTTTCGAGTGAATGAGTGAATATTAACTATTCAGCTACACGAGGGCTTTGGGTGACGTCATTTTGAACCAATGAGCTTTTCGAAATATTGTCATTTATGTTCCTTCGCATGAAAATCAAGGCCTTATTACTTATTTTGTCTAACTAATTTTCACCTGAAATGACTCCATTAAAAATATGAATAGGTAGCTATAAAGTTTAACTGCAAAGAGAGAATTAGCTTGTAACTATCCTAGAGGGAGAGAGAAAAATCGAGAGATTATTGGAAATAGTTTCTCTAAGAATAAAGTGTTTATAGGATGAAAATTTATTTAAAAATGAATGAATTTTTGAGGAATAAATTTATTCAATTTTATTCTTTAATTTGAAAGAAAAGAAATCTAAAGCAGTGGCGTACACAAAGAGGTGTTGTTTAACCCAATCATTAACTTTTGTCTCCTTGTTCTATCCCTATTAGAGAAGTCTATGTACATGACTGAGTTTAACAATGCCGATTTAAGCTTATTTTGGGCCCTGGGCGCAGGAGATCTACGGTTACCCTTGGCATTGGAGAATCGAAATTTGTAACCAGAAAATCTGTTTAAGTGTAGCTTATCTGGGCCCTTCCAGGCCACTGGGTGCCCACCTCAAGCGCCCCACCACTGGTGTTTAAGTAACAGTGTTTCCTCCAAACTTCCCCTTCAAATTAATAGTATTCAACTCATTAAAAATGAGGTGCTGAGTGAGTAAGTAAATATAAACGTGGCACTGTTCAGCTACTCGAAGGCTTTTGGTGACGGACCTCGGAATTTTGAACCATGGACAAGTGACGAGGATGGCACCTAAGCTGGAACCTCCTCTCCTAACTACCACACCACACCAACGGGAGAACGTTTGATCTATCGATAGATTTAACGTCCATCGCTCCTCTACACTGCGTGTCTTGAGCGGTATTGGGCTCGAATTCCTGACACGCCGGCCACGAGTTGATTCCTTTGACCCCTAGTCTACCGTGGCCTAGATAAGGTGTTGTGTTGAAAGAAATTATCTTTTGAAGTGAATTCTATTGACATATCCAAAAAAAGCGATTCGTGTCCGAAGATGAGCAATAGCGTGTCGCTCTAGAAAGCAACCAAAAAGGCAACGGTCATTTTGGTCAAGTCACGAGGTTCACACCCTGTCAATAGGAACCTCGACATGTACCCCAGACTACAAAGAGGGTATTTAGTGGCATCTGGACTCGAACCCGCACTTCGACGGAAAGCCCGTCTGACGGGAGTTCACGATTAGAGCCACTCAGCATTACCAACGAATCGCTCGAAAGAAAAATAGTTGAAAACTGTAATAAATAGATTTGTGTTCCTTTCATTGAAGTACTTGGTTTACTTAGATGCTCCCAGTTCTATGAGCAGGACAAATACTGAAAAAAATCGATCATTCTAAAATAACACAAACAGCCTGCATGAGATCTTCCATTTGGATTACTGGGAGGGAGAGAACAATTTTTGCGATGAAGATAAAATAGTGGAGGGAAAAAACGATTAATCGAGATTCTACATCAAGACTCTTGAGTTTTCATAAGAGTTTGTCAGCTTAATGATAGTCAAGTCAACTCAACATTAGTCAAATATTGACTTTTTAAAAAATTCGGTCGTGTAGTGGGAATCATGTGAGTTTTGGATGTTAGGACAATGAAATGCCAGCTCTTTTGATCACTTGACCAAGCACCATGTTACTACTCAGTTATCTCAAAATTCACCCCAAAATTTCATTTCACGAGAGAAACAACACGGACAAAGAAAATGTTCGAGTAAGATTATATTGGATCCAACATTTGACAGAGTTAAAAAGAAATAATTTTTATTTCGGTTTTATTGTTCAACTTAGCTTTTGACATGATAAAGAATCTGAATTCAAAAGCAAAAAAAAAAAAAAAAATTACAATAAAAGATAAATTATTATTAAAATTCCTTGAAAAATAAGATCTGAAAAGTTGTTGAATTATTTTTCTCTCATCTGGTATTGCTTTTGCTCTACATCAATTATCTAGGAAAAAAATGTCTATGATTGATGTGATTCTTAATCAAATATTGCTCAAGTAGAAGGAACCATGGAGATTATTTTTAAAAATAGATTCATGTCCAATTCGCCTCTTGAATCCAAGAGAAGCCTATTAAATAGAAGGGAAAAGAATCTTCTTGCAGTTTTTCATTTCGTAAACAGACGGGATAAAACTTTTTTTGCAACCAACTGGATAAAAATATTCTCGAGCAGAAGTTAAAGGAATGTTACTTTCTCAGATCTTGCATCTGTTTTTAATTGTATCAATTGAGTTCCTCATTTTAATCCACTTGGATATTTACATTCCCTTTGATTATTTTTTAAGATATTTTCTTCCTTTGAGATGGGCTTTTTTCTATTGATCGAGGATTCCTGACTTGCTTAGGTTTTTGAAATGTCCATTGCTATTAAAAAACTAATAGATCTAGTTTACAAGTGTCTCCCTGATTCAAATACCTAGACTATGTTGACCTGGTACTATGTTGCTTTAATAGCTTCGTAAGTCTATTCTCCCTCTCACTCTGGCCGCGGTAACCTAGTGGTCAAGGTATCGGATCAGGCACGTCATGAGTTCGAGCACAGTCCATGTAGAGGACAGATGCACGTTAAATTTGTTGAGAGCTCAAACGTTCCACATTTGTGTGATGTGGTAGTCAAGAGAGGGAGTTGCCAGCTCTTAGTTACTTAACCATAATTCAAAATGACTCGGTCCGTCGCCAAAAGAGCTCTCGGGTAGCTGAATAGTGCGACGTTAATATTCGCTCCCTCACTCACCCTCTCACTCTACAGAAGCCTTACAGATGCGCCAATACAGT